GCTATTAGTGTCTCTACTGTGGCATTTGATACGGATTCTAGAAGACGGAATACCATTGGATGCTCTCGCTCAGCAGTCCTTTGACTGGCTACATTGACTTCAACCCGGAACAAGTCCACCCCCGGTACCTCACCTTCTGATACAGTCTTAATTCTGTCAGTGAAACCAATGATCATTGCTGCAAAAATTCCCACAATGATCATGAATGAAAACCACAGTGACCCATAACTAAACAGCTCACGGTCATTGTCAGTAATTCTAATCTCAGTCGCTCCTCGTCGTCCGTGAACACTTTGCATCTCTAACTCCAGTCTGGAAACAGCCGATATTCTCAGGAACATCAGGTCCTATCTCAGCAACTATTGCAAAGCTCTGCTCATCTCATCAATATCATCATCGACAATTGTTAAGAACTGTGGTACTCTGAAAGTTTGAGAATTGGCGGGAACTTCAACTGTGATTGGCTGATCACTGAAATCAGTACTGAAAACATAATTATGGGGTGGAAAGAGAGAGATATATGGTCATCTTTCTCAAAAATCTTATGATTACTGTTATGCCAAGGGGTGCATTTTTAAACTTCATACCTAGAAACAATAAAAATATTTTTAGGCATGTTCAGGCATATCAGCTGCATTTACATGGAACAGACACAGTAGGAATTTTTGCCTCCCAACAAGTTGTCAAACTAACATGGTATAACGCACGCACGTGTGTGACCTCTTTTTAATGCACATTAATATTTTTTCCGGGACACAAACTCATGAATAATTTAATAATGCATTAAACAACAACTAAAAACCATAATTATTTCGTGTTCCTAAGCCATGAAGTTTTCAAATAATATGTGGTGAAGTACCCCTCAATGAGCTAATTTGCACTCACATGCAAAGTTATGAGTATATTTTCATGTGAAATATTTACCCATGCTTTCAACAATATTCTGATACCTGCTGTAGCTCTTGATCCCGGTGGAATACTGGCAGAAATAATGAAAAATCCCAAACCCATAGACTCAGCTGTGTCCACAGTAACAGGGCTGAGTGTTATAATAAATGGGTTTTGATTTGGCCGGAACTGAAGTGTAATTTGTGTATTCAGCATTGTCGAACCCTCATCAAAAGAATAGTCAGGTTCTAAGAAAGTAATCTCCAACACTATACAAACAGACAATGAGCCAGATTAATTAAACAGCACCCGATCATGGGAGAAGCACTTACAATCATTATCAATGATATTGACTGTTGCAGTGTCTCTGATATACTCTCTATTAGCCTCCAGACCAGGAATAAGACTAGAATCGTCAGGAGTGAACCTCAGTAGCACTCTGTCATTTATACTCCAGAGTGATTTCATCATTGGAAGTGAACAGACGAATGTCTGCACTGTTTGTTAGTCTGATTGGTGACAGCCTTTCAAAGTCTGAGGTGCCTGCAGATATAACATGTGCAGGTAAAGCTAACTACTACACACGAAGCTTACTTGCAGTGCCATCTGCTGCAGCTGTAATGAGACCAGGGACAACAAGAGCACCACCAAACTGTGTTGTTCCCTTAATATTGAGTTGAAAGCTGGTGTCCAGTATCCTGCCCTCTTCCACATCATACTTACTCTGCCCGAACCCATGCACTGTATGTTGCCAAGCCCTCATGATGCCAGGACTAAGTCTCTAGCTACCACTGACATACCTACACAGAGAGTACAGGTGGTGCCATCATTGAAAGAAAGCCCATCATCTGTTCCCACACAACAGGCTCGTTGATCTGCTGCCACTACCAGTCCTCCAGTACAGTTTGTGTTAGTGAAACACTGAGAAAAACCTTGTCCAGTCAGAAGAAGAAGCAAAAACAAGTAGAGGACTGCCTCCATTTTCCATAAACAAGTGCTACTCTGCAGGAAATATCAAATTTTGAGGTTACTCTAGCTTCCACTTATAGGTGGCGAGGCGGTATATACAGGATATATTTCGAGGCTGTTTACTATACCGGACGAGCGCGTAGCCCGAGGCGCTGTAGACTGTAAAGTTAACAGTCGAGGAGGATTTCCTGTATATACACGCCAAGACGCCTGACGTTAACTGATTTGTAGTCCAACTAGCCAATCACAATGCTGAATTTCTGCTGTGTCATCCTGCACTAACGTATATACTAATGACTGTTGGTTAAACTTTGGAAGCCAGACAATTTCCACTACGCCTAGCGGTAGATGTTGTGATAAGGACTTCCTGCCCAATACTGACATTGTGATAACCAAATGATCAGCTGTTGGAATGGCCTAAACTTATCACCCATTCTCAACACCATCTGCTATCTATTGACTGACTCCATATCCCTCTTCCCTAAAGTGTGTTCCTTGTCAGAAAGTGAGAAAATAATAGTTAACCTTTTTGAACGATTCTATGGAGGTAGGAAATAGTTATCACTTATTCAATGATTTCCCTTTCACTGAACTAGGGCGGCAGCATGTGGTCAAAACTGAAGCCACGAGTGTGTAAGGAGCCATAACAAGTGGAGGACAGCCTCCATTTTTCCATAAACAAGTGCTACTCTGCAGGAAGAATCAAATTTTGAGGTTACTCTGGCATTTACAGCCTTCACTTATCAATGACTTCATCATTGTGCGAAAGTCATGCCCAGGCCTTTACATAATACTTATTGATAGTTGTCCATGAGTTTGTTAAGTTTGGTATATCATCATATTGCTGATATTCAAGTGAGTCAGAATAGGTTTTTCTTTTTGGGAGGTAAGCACTAGATCCCTGGTACTTTGCTTAAATAGCTAGCTATAATAATGTAGATCTTGCTTACAATACCGACTATTCTAAAGGTTACATCAATTCCTGACAAATGGTAGCGGTATGTGCAGTACTCTGAGTACTTGTGTGTGCATGTTTGTTAATAATCTGGTATTAGCAACAATGTTGGCAGAGAGTGGTGGAACAAATGGCATCCTTGGCACCGAGACATGGGTGTGACCTCTTTCCATTAACTAAGTAAAGGAGTCAGAGAGTAGTTCATTTCCTGTGACAATCCATTCCAACCCCAACAGAAACCCACTAACTGCATGGTCTGTCTGTAGGTATGAGCGTATTTTGCCTGCAAAGCTGCTTCCAAGAAATGTTTACTTTAGGTCTAAAACTGATTCAGATTGGTAGTTTGTTCGAGATTAAATCTACTGTATATGGAAGCAGCTTTTATAATCTGTCAAATTGAGTGCAAGAGTAATGACACTCATTGTCTGTTTCCCTGTCTAAAGTATTGCAATGGCAAATGGCTCTGCACAACAAAGACTGTGAAAGTATGGTGGGATTGGACACCTACCAACTCTGTAGTCATAAAGCTACATCAAGCGCTGGCATGTGGCCAAATTTCTTGTGAGGGGGATGGCTGCATCAGACTAATTTTACTGCGCGAGGTACACATAATATGTCTACTGCACACTCTGCGTATACTCAGTGTACCTAGTGATACTGAATTATGGAGAAATGGCAGTAAATGTTTGCCTAGACAGGTGGCCCCGGCCAGTTAACAATACAAGAGAGCAGTTACACATGGTTGATGATCAGATCTTTAATAGTGTTGCCCCAAAATGCTGCAGCTATATAGCCAATATTAGAGCAAGGAACTCAGCTAAATAAGCTGTGATACAACTACAGAGTTCCCTATACACCCGCAGTGTGTAACTACCTTCTCGTTATCTTTAAATGGCTCCAGTCTTATGGCTGTCAATGCAAGGCAAAAAGCATGGCGCGGTAACAAAAACCAACTTTGCAGCAAACTGGAGTATCTAGCTACATAGTATATGGCACAAACACCAAAATTTTGCACCATAACTTTAAAACATGCACCTGTGTGTTGATGATGCAGCCTTAACCCTGAACTCTCAAAATGATATAGGTTGTATTTCCCCCTAGTGAAATACAACTACTCCCATTTTTCTCCAAAATAAATTGGCATTTTGGGTATGGTAGCTAGCTATGCTTATTTCTGTAGCTTATAGCTAGCTATATAGCGATTTAAATCGCTTTAGTAGATGCTTATATACCTGTCTGAAAATTAACTGCTTTCTTCCTTCCTTTAGCTGATCCAATGCAGAATACGAGCAAGCTTTGCTGTGCTTGAGTGTTAGAAATAACAACCTCTGCTGCTCTAGCTCCTACACAAAAGCACACTGCTCATACACTGAAATACACGCCGGCACTCCGTGCGGATGTCCGCACAGGTGCGCAGGAGCCACGTGCATGCGCAGTAGGCGTACACGAAACCCGCGTGACAGGCCGTCGGATTAGTAGCTAGTTGTGGTTGCGAGTCCATTGGACAGGACACCCAGTGGCTGGCTTATGACGGGATGATTTACCCAAAGCCATTAACATGATGTTCTTCAAAGGCTGGCTGCATTGGATAGTGGCTTACTGCACACTTTATCCTTCAGAGTGCAAAGTGTGAGATTAATTATCTAAATTACTCTATGCTGTTTATTTCTTGCTCAACGTAATTTATTTTCAGGACATAGAAAACTAGTCAATTCTTTCTTCTTCAAGGCTCTTCAGCTCTCTCAACCAGGACTCCACGTGGTGATTAGAATCATTAGTCACATTTGTTGCATTCCTCCACAATTTAACCACCTCTTTAGCATTTCCTTCAGCCTCAGTCTCCCCACAGCAAACCAGAGCTTTCAGAACCTTAACGACATCAAACTCTAGGCGAGGTATGTACTGCTCGTCGCAGGGGGTCAGACGAAGAGCATCGAGGTAGGCAATTATCTCCACATTCTCAGGGGCAGGGGTTTCCCCCTTCCACTGCCCTCCGGTCACCACGTCAGACGAGCACGGCATGTGGTTCTCACGGTCTGGTGTCCAATACCACTCCTTCTCCTCCTCCCTCCACTGGTACCTGGAGAAACCAGCATGATGAAGATGACACTTTCACTCTTATTTAATACTTTACTTCTGTATGATATACTCCACTGCTCCAAACTATGAACTTAGCACAGGAACTGTGTTTTGCCATGCATATTGGTCTCCTACCAGAGCTCAGTGGCGTAGTTTGCGAGGAATGACAAACACGGAGTCGTCATCACCACTCCTGCCAGCGGAACCATCCTCCAGTCCACACAGAAAACTCTTCACATTCTCCTCATCTGTATGTATGCATAGCATGATTGGGCCACCGTATGATGTATGGAGCAAGAATAAAGTCACACTGAAAATAATATTTGATCACTGAATTAATCATCAACCACACTCTATCTGTTCAAGAGTAGGGAATATCTATATTATAAAGGAGCTTTCATACACTGGAGTAGCTAAACAGACGTGTAGAAAGCAGACCTCTTATTTTTTGCGAGTGCAGCAAGGTGTGCTTCAGATGTATCTGGAGCAACTTGAAGTGGTTGGGCACCTCTGCCTCCCCGGCAGGTCCACTGATGAGCTGCCTCAGTCTGCCACTAGTCTCCTTCAGTCTCTGAGAACGCTCCTCCCCCTCCCCCGATAGAGTGTTGGGGTCACAGGTTAGGGCATGCAGATCACGGAGGGTCTTTGAGAACTCTTTGCTGTATTGGAATACAGTGAAAGTTCTTTGAACTAATCTGCGTCTTGCTCAACTGAAATGTTACGAGAAAACGGCGAATAAATGGCTCTATAACAACACAGGGAAGTGGAAGTCGTAGAAACCAAATTGCTAACTTGTCGCGCTTTAGAACTGGTCCCCTGCTTTTGGAAAACAATTTTCACGTGTTTCTTAATTTCTGCTAAATGCCGTTACATTCAACTCACTATGTGGCTTTCCCAGGATCCCTGCCTCCCTCTTCCTCATCTGACGATGAGTCATCATCAGAACTGTGTCCAGCTTTGGTCCTCTTGGAACTGGGCACTTCCTCCTATCAGACATCATAGTAGTAGACACGGAGATGAGTCCATGCATAGCTAGTTACTTATTACCTCTTCTGGCGAGGGCCCAGCGGTGTCGTCATTCTCTTCTTTCCTGTCGTCCTGATTCCTCTTCACTGCACGCGTCTCTGACTCGTGCCCTCCATGGTTCACACACGTTCATTTAGAATAATTCGACAACGCCCCTACTTTCCCTCCCAAATTGCCCGCGATCGATCATGCGCATCTCAGCCGGATATATAGGCATGCGCAGGTTTTTATTAGCCAATGCAACTCGTGCCGCATAGTAAGGAGTAACTAAACAATAAACAACTAACAAGAAAAATGGGCATCGCTTTTGTACTGTTGATGATTATGCATCTCGCTGCTGTGAACTGTTCGCTGCTGTATCGGATCAGACGCGAGGACGAAAACGGCAGAGACGGGGGCAGTGGGGAGAGCGACGCGGACGACACATCTCTGCTGGGTGTAATTCCGTCCGTCGCTCCACTCATTCCTCTCCGTTTCTCGTTTCTTACAACAGCCTCTGGGGACGACAGTGGACTTGAGTACGTCCAATCCAGTATCCCGGCCCTGGAGTTGGCCGTGAGACACATCAATGCCAATTCAAGCGTGCTGCCTCGCTTCAACCTCAGCTACGAGCTGCAGGAGCTGGAGGTATATGCAAATGAACTATCATTATTAGACAAATAATAGGCTCATTTTAAAGAGTTCTTAAAACGAAGTGAGACAAAAGTGCAGAGAGAGCTTTCTTTTCAATAGAAGCTCATGTGTGTTTTCCTTCCCCCTTCTTTCAAGTGCTCAACAGAAGGCGCGCTGGATGCATTCTTCAAAGGTGTGTTTTCTCAAGATTCAATTCTCGCCTTTCTGGGCAGTGCGTGTCCCAAAGCTGTGGAACCAATCGCCGAGCTGGTGCACAGGTGGAACATTTCTGAGGTAAAATTGCTTACTACGCCATTCTTTGAGCGGGAACACTTTCGTAAGAAACTTGATGGCATCCTTTGAGGTGGATGCTCCCAGCATATAATATTTTAAAAACTGCAAACTCCATGCAAAAGGCCAACAATGAATGATGTTGCTGCGTTAGTAAATGAAGTCCTCCAAGATGATGTGTAGCTACAGTACGGCCCGCTATGCTCTTATTCGCCGTTGAGTCACAGTGGAAGAGAGTGCTGGTCATAACAGGGAAGGAGACAATGTTCAGGATGTAAGTGGTTCATCACGATAGGAACCATCACAGAGGCTAGGGAATAACCAGGCCTGCGAAACTATGCCGCCTTTGTATATAGCCGCATCGCCCATCTTCTCCCGTCTACACACCAATATGTGTAATCCGACCCTCAACCTGGCGAGACTCTGTTGCTGCTTTGCAAAGCAAACATAACCTAAGATAACGCATGTGCTGCAGCCGGCCCTAGACCTGCCCCAGACATTGGGAACCGTTACAAACGACATACCCCATAATAAACATGATGTGTCTGTCACACTGGTGTTTATACCGTCCAGACGTTACCGTACTCAGCAGCACTTCCAGCCTCCACAATATCACGCGTAGCCCACCTAGAACTTCATCCCCTCTTCATTGCATTGTATCCGATCTCTGGTCACCTTACATACTATGTGTAACACCATTCAAATGGCATCATTTTTGCACTTTTGTGAAAGGGTGAAGCGATGATTACCGCATACTTTCTTAACGTCACTCCTCCCCACCGGCGAGGGAATTCGATGTGAGGTATCTGGTTTGTCATGTTTATCAATCACGATCTAAGAGTAAGTCCCCACGTGTCCAGTTTGCAGTGGCTCAAACAGTATAATTATTACTTCAGATTTGTAGTACGCAGCTAAGCTTTCACTGTAGTTCCACCAAAAAAAATTAAAAACACGAATTTTATAATAGCATAATTAAGTGAAGATTCATTCAACTGTGTCGATTAAATCATATTCCACTATATTAACGAATCCATTCTCCTTTTTACGCCAGGCCTATCATAAACCCCCAAGAACAGTGTCCCAGATACCCTTCTACACGTGGAGTCTCAACGGATGGTAGACTCTGTATGGTGGAAAACACCTCATTCTATAGGCACAGTAGTTGAAAACTGCACCGCGAACAAATTTTCCAGTGTCGTTGGAGTATTCCTTTTCTCTTCGCGGGTATCCCACGCATCAGACAAGACTCCCTCTGTCCACGGGAATAGTAAAAAAACGTGCGTTCCCTAATGAATTGGTTTTCTTTCGCTTTCAAGCAATGCCAAAAAACCTGAGGTATGCATTTTGCTTCACTAAGGGTTATGAAATCTCTCCCAGGTGCTGTGGTCCCCCAATGACTATGCCAACCTCAGTATTTGTTGCTTCAGTGACCATGCAATGTATTGACTGTACTTAATCATTACTATGACTTCCACCCGGAAGAAAGTACACTTGGTGTTGTTTAAAAACTTTGAATCCCATCAGCAAAAAGGCAATTGTCATCCTGTTAGAACCTTAGACATGAACATCACCGCAAGAGTAAACAAGCAGTCGTGATTCTCACCAAAACGCAATGATCAAGTTGCATTATATATCATTAATCCGGACAATTTCTTCATTTGCCTAACCACACACAATTGACACACGTCCTATCACCATTCCACGGAGCTACTCTCAGCTGTTTAGAGGAGACCTACCCGGCAACACCAGGAACAAGCTGTGACTCTACTCATTCCTGCGCCACTGCACCTACGACGCAGTGTGGACACTGGCGCTGGCTCCTCCATAAAGGTCGACACTTTCTCTCGCGGCTGGCACAATCCAACTGGACGCTGACGGGATTCCGGACTTTGCGGTGCCACGGCCAGCAGCAGCGATAATCTCGAGCCTCAACTACTCACTACGTTTATCTCGGTGTCGCATTCGTCAGGCATGAGCTCTTGACACAAACTTTGTAGGCTCTCGCGGAAGAGCAAACCTCTGAAATTACAGCACAAGAACCGCCTCTGCAGCTAAAATCTGACACGATTATGACTAAATTTCCGTTTATTCAGAGTTTAAGGTAGTATGAGCACGACAGAGACGCGATCGAGGCACAAGTTAACGTCCTTTTAGAGAGTGTGTCATTGATTCTGGGCAGTCCGTGTCTCTAAGTGGTCCACGGTCTTATGCAAGGGTGACTTACCTCAATGAGAGCAGCGGGTCAAGGCGCATTTCACCTGTACTTTGCTACACTACAGAAGCTCAGGTTTTCATTTTGACACAAGTTAGCTAAAACTGCGTGACAAAACCACGCATAGTACAGCAGTAGCACCGGTGGATGTAGCGAAGTAAAGATTGCAGATTACGACATAGGAAATGGTGACTGTCTTCTTCCAAAGAAAGCATGCTACCCACACCGTGTTTCCAGGTGAGCGGCTGCCACACATGACAATCCATGATACTAGGCAGTCCTATATAAACCATCCCCTTACATGCACAGAGAGGTTTTCCTATTCCCATACAAACACAGGATTGTTGTATGGCATGACGTCTTGCAAGCTGTGATACTATATATAGCATAAGGTGTCTTCATGCAATACACTTATGCAACAGTATCTTGACTATAAAATTGGCACCGGTTAGATGGAGTTACGCCGGATGGTCACGCCCCGACAGGTTACTTGTGTTCATTCTACCTCGCCCTGGTTTCTACCTCTACAGCCATCGCTGGAGTCGCAATTGTCTTCACATTTGTCTGTTCTATCTTCAACGTCAAGTACAGAAACACAACGGTATGCATCCTCTATGCAACCAGTATTTTCAATCACGAGTTAGACAGAATAACGATACTGTCGCTGCCAACAGTTGTCTAGAAGCCAGGTTACTATACTATTATAAACACAAAATATCCATTTGCACATACATAGCTCCACAGAGGATTTACTTTTCTGTTTGTTATTATCACCGATATGTGAAAACAAATACCTCGGACCCTCCCCTACATGTCCTAGTAGTAACCCCCGAGCCACGCTATCCACAACCCCCCAGTTGTGTAAGGTGACTCATTGCTTGCTGATCACTTGTAGCCACATATGGGTGCTCGCGTGTATGCAGGGGCTAGTGTGGGAGTATCCCCTTTCCATATGCAACCACACGCATCATGCCTGGAGACGTGAACACTGTTGCACCTTTAGAATTTCATTACGCGTAACTGCATGGTTGTGCATCAGGTTGTGGACGAAGAAATGACACAACTTACCTTAACCATGCATTATTGGATACTAGCCACCTTTATCTTCAACCCATGAGACTCCATCTACTCTCTTGTAAAAATTTATTACGAGTAAAGCTGACGAGCCGCAGCATTATTTTATTTCTTGATTGTGGGGTCGTTCATGATGTTCTCTCCATCTCATTCGCGTCCTACCACGCACCGGAGGGCGGTCAACCTACAGATGCAAGTGAGCCCCGATTTTTGAGAATGTCCAAGAGTAACTTGAGCTTTGTTTGTACTCTGCTGGCGCCAGTAAACCCAACACACTGCACATACACGCACACACACACTAGCTATGGAGCTGTAGATTGCATTAATATGTATATTTCCCTCATAGCTCATGTTCTCAGCAATGATGCAGCAACTGAGGCCTTTCAGACTCATTACCTTAATTGCGTATAGTGACGCACTGTTTTCCTTCTCAGATTCAGCAATGGGGTGAATAACATTGCCTCTGCTTTGGATATGGCACTATTTCCACAAAGATTGGAAGGGTCTACAAGATCTTCCACAATCCAAGTTGCAAAGAAGAACAAAATTGTGTGAGTAGTTTTATGTTTAGGGTTATTCTTCCACCATTTGGTGTGTCAGTTACGTAAGGGGCTTTTAAAACTTAGTAATGTTACTGAAGATTGTAAATTAGTTTCCATGTGTTAGTAACATTTCTAAATTCCGCGCCTGTATAACTATAACTACTTAATTTTTTAATTTATTCAAAGTCGTTTTTGTTTTGTTTGTTATGCAGGGGTGTGAAGACTGGCATATGGTGAGATAGTTGCAAACTAATAACAGGAGTTGGGTGTCCCTCCCTGCTGACAGTAATACTGTTGCTTTCAAAGAAGCAAACCCAGCTCTGCTTTCCAGCGACGAATACGGGTCGGGAAAAGATGTGAGTATGGGCAATGGTAACGTTTCGTGACTCTTAGTGG